CATATTACTCCTGGGGTCCACGACTGAGTGGTATATTTTACGGGACAGTTGTTTAATCACCTACATAACTATGACCTCACCTCAGTACCATAGCAATGGCGTCCTCACTGATTTCGGATATTTACGCAGGGAAATTGCGTTTATTAGCTGATACATTAAGTCGGTCACTAGATTCAGACACGCCTGATTTCCTGAAGTTTAACGAGAAAGACGTGAATGGGAATAGTTTACTTATGACATTGACCGTGCTAGGCGAACGACAGCTGATCGAAAAACTTGTTGCAAAAAATAGGGATATAATTGAGCCCAACCCTTGCGGTATGCAATAAATTAAAATGACTACTTCCAAAGGTTACGATATTGTTCACATAGCCGCTATATGGGACAATGCAAAATTAATAAAAGCCTTATATTTCTGTGGGGTTGATTTAAAGTGTCGTACATCGCTTGGTGAAGATGCTGTGAATTTAGCAAAGAGATACCACAGCGAAGACGCTATAAAAATGTTTACTTGGATAGGTATGCGTAATATTTTAACGTCTACACGCGAAGAGCTCAGAGAGAGTTTTGTGGCACTCATACAACAGGCCAGGAATATTTTAAAATCGGCAGACAAAATGGGGATCAAATTAACTAAAGAAGAAAGGGTAGTGGTCGTTTCCTCAGTCTTACTTTTTTTCAGCGATCGGCCGAGGCAGCATGCACCGAAAAGGAAAACTGGCTTAATCTTTCGGTTAATCGCTCTTTGGAAGAACTTAAAGCTAAAAAGGAACACCTAGAATTAATTGTGGAGCCCATATTTGTTAAATTTGACGAGGAAGTCTGAGGCGGGACCATCCGCGATAGTTCTCGAATCAATATCACTTTGTGAAACACTTTCATCCCCCAAAAAATTAATCTTCCGTGCTCCGGGTTTTTTATTTTCTGGAAACCGCACGGGGACCGAGTCCCATTGATTACCTGGATTCGAGCGATCGCTAAAGGTTCTTCAGGTAGTGGCTCAAGCCCAAAAAACACGTTTGAGTCAGAGTGCGCTGACGTTACGATTGGTCGATTGCAGACCCATCCTTGTCTAGATCTCTCTATATGGCTTCTCGTCCCCTGTATGCAAGGAATAACAATAGTTCAGACCTTCACTATTTGCTAATCGACACAATTTTCAAAGAAGTCTGAAAGGCCGCAGATTAATAGTGTCTAAACGCTTAATTTCAAATCTAATGGAATGCTATCCGGAAATGTATTTCTGTTCATCAGTTAAGAATAAAATTTTAGCAATGCATGTATCGTTTTCTCTAACGTCCTTATGTTGGGTAAGCGAACAAAATTCCGTCACTGGACATGGTTTTCGTATTGCGTTTCGCGTTAGTTTAAAGCTGACATATATTTTAGCGCCCCGCCAACCCAACGGTTTTGTGTGCGATGCCCAGCTAGTAAGAAAATGGCTTCATAACAACAACAAAGCTTATGTATCCTGTGGTTATTTCTGGTTGGGATCATTGTTCACGGCTGTTTTGTATTTGATTACTACCAAATTCCATGTGAAATACGTTTTCTTCATCTGTGTCGACATAATGCCTTACGTTCTATCAGGGCTGTCTAGTCCTTAGCTCTTTTTAAACCCCTTCCACCTCTTGTTTTTTTCTTGCAATGTGCATCTGATCTCGCCTATCTTCTCATCAGTTGAGCCACACTCGCACAGAAAGTTGGACTTTAATGAGAGCTAAGCAACTGTTGATTGAGTTGCCGCCATGTGTCTTAACAAGTATGCTTATTTCATTGCTCGGAATTTTGGCCTCCTGAAATCAACAGGCAGACAGAATGCATGCGAATTTTTGGCCAAAAAGAACGGCAGTCGCGGCTTCTTCTCTGCATACGCATTACATTCATGCAGATTAAATTTTGCTAATTGGCTTCTCAAATTTAGTTTTCTTTACTAAATCTGGGCTTGATTCAACAAACAACATTTGAACTTTTGCATTATAGCAGGAATGTAGATCTCATAATTATTTGCGTGTTTCTTGGCACCCATCTGCAA